CAGGCTGGTCTTGAACTCCCGACCTCAGGTGATCCACCTGCCTCGGCCTCCCAAAGTGCTGGGATTACAAGCGTGAGCCACTGCGCCCGGCCTCTGCAGTTTTACCATAATGTACATACATGTAGATTTCTTTTCTTTCTTTCTTTTTTTTTTTGAGACGGAGTCTGGCTCTGTCGCCCACGCTGGAGTACAGTGGCGTGATCTCAGCTCACTGCAACTTCCGCCTCCTGGGTTCAAGAAATTCTCCTGCCTCAGCCTCCCAAGTAGCTGGGACTACAGGCACACACCGCCACGCCCAGCTAATTTTTTGTATTTTTAATAGAGACGGGGTTTCACTGTGTTTATCAGGCTGGTCGTAAACTGAGCTCACGCAGTCCGCCTGCCTCGGACTCCTAAAGTGCTGGGATTACAGGCGTGAGCCACCGCACCTGGACTTTTTTTTTTTTTGAGATGGAGTCTCACTCTGTTGCCCAGGCTGGAGTGCAGTGGTGCCATCTTGGCTCACTGCAACCTCCGCCTCCTGGGTTCAAGGGGATTCTCCTGCCTCAGCCTCCCGAGTAGCTGGGACTACAGGCGTGCGCCACCATGCCCGGCTAATATTTTGTATTTTTAGTAGAGACGGGGTTTCACCATGTTGGCCAGGATGGTCTCCATCTCCTGACCTCGTGGTCTGTCCACCTCGGCCTCCCAAAGTGCTGGTGTTACAGACGTGAGCCACCGCGCCTGGCTTACATAGGGACCTTTTATCAGACTTCCACCTGGTGCAGGCCTGGCCTTGGTCTCCTATTCCCCCTCTGCAGGGAGGAGAGGAATTTTGAAGCTTAGGGTCACCAGTTATTTTCAGTGAGAGGGCCACTCAGGATATCTATTTAGCTATGTTTCCAAGTACAGAACCTTTGTGTCTTTTTAAAAGTTCTAAATAGGCCGGGCACGGTGGCTGAGGCCTGTAATCCCAGCACTTTGGGAGGCCGAGGCGGGCGGATCATGAGGTTAGTAGATCGAGACCATCCTGGCTAGTGCAGTGAAACACTGTCTCTACAAAAAAAAATACAAAAAAATTAGCCGGACGGTGGCGGGCGCCTGTAGTCCTAGCTACTCAGGAGGCTGAGGCAGGAGAATGGTGTGAACCTGGGAGGCGGAGCTTGCAGTGAGCCGAAATTGTGCCACTGCACTCCTGCCTGGGGGACAGAATGAGACTCTGTCTCAAAGAAAAAAAAAAGTTCTAAATATTGCATAATAAGTTGAAATAGATAAATTAGTAAAATAAAGGTAATAACCACCATTACCCCCTCCCTCCAGGTGTGACAGATGACTGGGAGACAGACAGAGTGACAAATGGAATGAGCATGGGCTTTGGAATCAAAGATACTGAGCCCTACCACCTACTAGATGGGTGACCTGGGGCAAGTCACTTTATCTCATGGAACCTCAGTATCTTCATATGAACAGGGGGCAGTAATAGTTAGTGCTTGGTACACAATAGGGACTTACAGAAAAATAGACACTATTCTTGGGATGCACCAAGAGAAAAAAACTCATAAACTTAACACTGTATAAATATGTGGGATTAAGGGACTCTTTTTTCACTAGGTGGCTCTAGCTTCTTCCCAGTGAGCCCACCCCAATAGAGGGAGGTTTTTTGTTTGTTTGCTTGTTTTTACCCATGAAATAGCCTCAGGAGGTCCTGAGAACATGCACCCCCAATAGAGTGTTTAGGTTTAACTCGCACAGGGGAAAGATCCTTGGTCCCTTGGTCTTTCCCTCTGGACTGTGCCATTTGCTTTCTGTGCCATCTGTAGTGGTAGGAGGACTCCTGTCTGCTCATCTGCTCTCCAAGAAGGCTGGGGTGGAAGTAGAGGCTGGATGGCCCTGTTCCGGGCCTCTCCTGAGAATGGCTGAGGAGGCGGCCCGAAAACTCCTCCCAGGTAAGACCCACACAGAGATGGGGCAGAGATGAAGTCCATTAGGTCCTGCTTCCCTTGCTGAAGATGGGAGTGGCAGTGCTGAATTAATTCCTGGTATTTCTCAGCAGGTGTATTTGGTATTTCTACCCCCCAGGCACCCACCGTGGAAATCAGGAGTGTCCTGGGCATTTTAAGGGCCTGCTGGGGCCCTGACCCAGGTGGATGAGTTGACCTCATTATTGTTTGCAGGGGATGGTGGAAGGTGACCAGCCTGGTGGGTGGAAGGCCATTGCCCTTATTTTGAATGAACCCATTTGTCCCCTCCCAGGTACTACGGTTATTTCACACACTGCTGGAGTAACGGGCCCAGGGAAGGGTGTTGGTGTGAGCATTAGCAGCCCTGGATTCTAGACTCAGCTCTGCCAGTCAACATTTTGACCAAGCCACTCTTCCGCTTCACAGTTTGTTGTTGGTTTGTTCGTGATGGAGTCTTGCTCTGTCACCCAGACTGGAGTGCAGTGGCACAATCTCAGGTCACTGTAACCACTGCCTCCCGGGTTCAAGCAATTCTTTTGCCTCAGCCTCTCAAGTAGCTGGGATTACAGGCGCCCACCACCACGACCAGCTAATTTTTGTATTTTTAGTAGAGATGAAGTTTCACCATGTTGGTCAGGCTGGTCTCAAACTCCTGACCTCAAGTGATCTGCCTACCTCGGCCTCGCAAAGTGCTGGGATTACAGGCATGAGCCACTGTGTCTGGTCTCTCTCCACAGTTTAATTTCTCCATCTATCGAATGAGAATCATAATTTCCACCTCCCTACCACATTGGATTTTGGGGAGGCTAAAATGAGGTCAGGAAAGAGAAACTGCTTAGAGAACCTCCAACACTTTTAAAACGAGAGGGATTTGTTTTGTGGCTAAGCTGTGTCCAGGGCTGCAGGCCAAGCCTCCGTGTTTTTGTCTAGTGAGGCAGTAACACCAGGCTCAGTAGCATCAACTGTACACTGTGTTCCCTTCAGGGTGTGGTGGAAGCTCTGAGGACTGTTCACACCCAGACACGTCACACTGTGCTTTCCACCAGCCTCTTGGCCATCTCACTTATTTATCCCTTTTCTTTCTTTCTTTTTTTTTTTTTTTTTTTTGAGACAGGGTCTCACTGTCACCCAGGCTGGAGTGCAGTGGCGTGATCATGGCTCACTGCAGCCTCTTGAACTTCTGGGCTCAGTTGATTCTCCCACCTCAGCCTCCTGAGTAGCTGGGATTACAGGCACACGCCACCGCACGTGGCTAAATTTTTTTTGTAGAGATGGGGTTTCACCATGTTGCCCAGGCTGGTCTTGAACTCCTGGGATCAAGTGATCCACCTGCCTCGGCCTCCCAAAGTGTTGGGATTACAGGTATGAGCCACCACACCCGGCCTCTTTATCCCTCTCACATAGCACTTGCCTATCCTTTGGGGGAGAGCTGAGGATAGTGGGTGAGCTGGGTTCAGGTCTCACTCATGGCTCATGGCTCATGGCTAATGGCTTAAGCGTCTTCCTTGCAGACATTGTGTCCTGTGTGATGCATTCCTGGAGGAAACTCTGGAAACTCTGTCTAGGTGCTCCTCCTTTATTATTTAATTATTTTTGGCCATTGGTCATTTTATTAAAAAAGGTCAAGAAACAGGATTTTGTCACTCCCCTTCTTTTTAATACGGCCTGACTTTTCTGAAATATTCCTTAGAGCCCTTCCTGGTTGTGACTTGCTGTCCCGCTGGTGTCTGCCAGATAGCAAGTTTCTTGTCTGTGGCAGACAGAGTTGCTAGACCCTGTGGTTCTTGGAAGTGTCGACACTTTTGTTCACAGATTGGTGACGCACAGGCTGCTCTGGAGTTGTTTGACCTTTAGGCCCGGAGAGGAAATCTCTGCCTCTGGTTGTCTAGTTCTCGTCTTGAATCAGAAGACACTTGGGTGGGGCGGGCAGAGAACTGGACTGGGGCTAGGGGTGGGCATAGGGCAGGCGTTCCCATCCCAGCTCTGTTTGACACTCTTCTGTGTGGCTTTTGGCTGAATCACTTCTTCACAGGCATGGTTTTCCCTACCTATAAATCCAGGGTCATGCTATATCAGTGGTTTAGTGGTTTATATCCTATTTTGCTTCCTTTTAAAAATTATTTAGCCCCTATACTCTTTATTTCAAGCAGAGATCTTTATTTAAAGTCTATGAATGGCTTTGTTTATTATTATTATTATTTTGAGACAGGGTCTCATCTTGTCACCCAGGCTGGAGTGCAGTGGTACAATCTCAGCTCACTGCAGCCCCCGCCTCCTGGGTTCAAACAATTCTTGTGCCTCAGCCTCCCAAATAGCCGGAATTACAGACGTGCACCACCACACTTGTCTAATTTTTGTATTTTTAGTAGAGACAGGGTTTCACCATGTTGGCCAGGCTGATCTGGAACTCCTGGCCTCAAGTGATCTGCCTGCCTTGGCCTCCCAAAGTGCTGGGATTATAGGCGTGAGCCAAGTCTATGAATGGCTTTGAATGGGGCGTACTCTTTTCATTGTGCCACAAGCCCCACCACTTTCTGTGGCTTAACCCCTGCCTGCATTACAATAAGTTACCTGCCTGGACTTTGAAGGCATAGTGTAAAATAAATAAAAATAGCTAAAGCGAGTGTGTGTGGAGCACCCTCATCACGAGCAGGAACCCAAGGGTTGTGCAGAGCAGTGTTTGACAGCATCTGGGCTGGGTGGCTGCTCAGGGCCCTCCAGTTACAACATTTATCCTTCTCTGGCTCAGACTCTAGCAGGACACCCAGGAGAAAGAGGAAAGTGCTGGCTAAGGTCCCAGGCTTTGGGCGTGTATCAGAACTATCCCTATCCCCCTGCTCCTGTCCGGGGTCATAATTTTTCAATTGTTCAGCCTTTCAGACCCCCACTGGCATGCCATATGGAACGGTGAACTTACTTCATGGCGTGAACCCAGGAGAGACCCCTGTCACCTGTACGGCAGGGATTGGGACCTTCATTGTTGAATTTGCCACCCTGAGCAGCCTCACTGGTGACCCGGTGTTTGAAGATGTGGCCAGAGTGGCTTTGATGCGCCTCTGGGAGAGCCGGTCAGATATCGGGCTGGTAGGTTCGCTGCTGCCCTTCCTGTTTGAGTCAAAGTTGCCACCTTGGCCCCAGCTTATGAGGCCCAGGGCTCTGAGCAATAAGTTGCAATCAAGCCAAGGAAAACTTAGGGTGACCTTAGGAGTGGTCCAGGATTTGGGCTCAGGACACCAAAAATAGACCAACCCTCCAATTCAAGTTTGGCTTGGAGTGGGGAGGAGAGTGGGAAAGCACATTTTTCTGGCGGGCAGCAGGGGCTGCATTAAGCTTTGACCACTTGAGATTCTCTGATTTCTAGGAAGAGGGTCGTATATTTCATGCACCTGACTCACGTGGTGACTTCAGCTCATCAGCTCGTCCGGCCTTCATTTTTAGTGTCTGTCTGTATTTGCTGTGTTTTTTAGGACACCAGTTCTGGGAGATACTGAATGACTGTTGCGTGACAAAATGAATCCTGGCCAGTTAAGTTAGGGGAATATTACACATAATATCCCCCCCTTTTTTGGAGAGTCAGAATGCTCTTGAGCAGAATAAAAGTCCTCTAGTAAAGAAATCTGTTCAACTTTGCTTAACTTAACATTTCCCAAACTTATTTAACACCAGAGCTTCCCTTTATCTTCCGGTACTATTAACCCATGGAAATTGAACACACTTTGGACCAGATGATCTCTAAGGTCAGTTTCAGCTTTTAAAGGGAATAATCCAGTAAGATTAACAGTAATTGAGCCAAAGCCATCCAGGACATACCACTGGATTTAGTCAGAACTGGATTCAAGCCCTGGCCTTGCTACATCGAAACTGTGTGACTCTGAGCAAGTCACTCAACCTCTCTTGTCCTCAGTTACTTCGTCAGTAATGTTAATATGTTAATACCAACTTTGCTGAGTCATTCTGACATAGGAAGACTGCATTCAGGTCTAGGCACATTTTATGCAGAGTCTGGTGCTAATTCAGCTTGAAAAGTAAAGCTTGTGTGAGGACTCCTTGAAAATCCCTTAAGAAGGTGCCCCCTTAAGGCTGGGCACGGTGGCTCATGCCTGTAATCCCAGCACTTTGGGAGGTCAAGGCAGGCGGATCACTTGAGGTCAGGAGTTCCAGAGCAGCCTGACCAACATGGAGAAACCCAATCGCTACTAAAAAAATACAAAATTAGCCGGGTGTGGTGGTGCATGCCTGTAATCCCAGCTACTTGGGAAGTAGAGGCAGGAGAATTGCTTGAACCCAGGAGGCAGAGGTTGCGATGAGCCGAGATCACGCCATTGCCTTCCAGCCTGGGCAACAAGAGCAAAACTCCGTCTCAAAAAAAAAAAAAAGGTGCCCCCCTGGAGACCTGTAGTGAATCCCTTAGTCCATCTCAGGCAGGTTTTGCTCCAGCAATGGGACCGTAGTAGACTGTGTTGGTGCTGTGCCCATATCCTCTCAACTCTTACCATTTCCATGCACACTGGCCAGTCTTCCAACTGCCATCACCTGCGCCTCTTTGCCTAGGGGTCTCCTCTGGTGCCTGGAGCCACTCTGCTTGCCTTTGGCTGAGGGTACTAGGATTTAATGCTACCCGTGAGTAGCTCTCAAGCCAGTAACTGATACCGATGGGAGTTGGTGGATAAACATTCCAGTTCCCTGCCCCTTTGGTGGGATCACTCCGAAGCTCAAGCTCTGCACTGAATTCCTGAGCTCCCCAGCAGGATTGAACTCCAGTTCCCATGGTGGAAACCTGCCTGATGGCATACCCCTTAAATGCCGCATCCCTTGCCCTGCCTCACTTTACTCCTCCTCTACTGGTGTTTACAGGGACTCGCCTTCCAAATCAACTACTTTCGATCAGAATGAGGTTGTGCCTCTGGGGGAACCCAAACTAACACAGAACAGTTAGCTATTTCTTTGAGTACCAAATGAAGTTACCAGCTTCCATGAGGGTCTAAGCTGTATGAAAAATACATATCTGTGACCGGGCGTGGTGGCTCACGCCTGTAATCCCAACACCTTGGGAGGCTGAGGCAGGCGGATCACCTGAGGTCGGGAGTTTGAGACCAGCCTGACCAACATAGAGAAACCCCGTCTCTCCTAAAAATGCAAAAAATAAAATAAATAAAATGAAACAGAAAAATGCATATCTTTGTTTATTTTTTTGAGACAGAGTCTCCCCCTGTCGCCCAGGCTGGAGTGCAGTGGCACGATCTCAGCTCACTGCAACCTCCCCCTCCTGGATTCAAGTGATTCTCGTGCCTCTGCCTGCTGAGTAGCTGGGATTACAGGCGCATACCACCATGCCTGGCTAATTTTTGTGTTTTTAGTAGAGACGGGGTTTTACCATGTTGGCCAAGTTGGTCTCGAACTTCTGACCTCAAGTGATTCGCCCACCTCAGCCTCCCAAAGTGCTGGGATTATAGGCGTGAGCCACCGCGCCTGGCCAGCCAGCATTGGCAATTTTTAACAGTCTCTACAGAGACTGAACAATTTAAAAAAAAAAAAAAAAAAGTCAAAGGATATAAAAAAAAGGTACTCAGTGACATTGGTGAAGTCCCCTTTTGCCCCTGTCTCCAGCTATCGGTTTCTCTCCTTAGAACCACTCTGTCAGCTTGCTGGTGAATGTTCTTCTTGAGTTAATTTATGGAAATATGTAAAGCATGCCTGTGTCTTCAGATACTGGAATCACGTGCTGAGTGCTGAGAAATCGGACAGATTGTGGGAGCAGCAAATTCTCATCTCCCATCTCACACTCACTCTAGGCAGGACATAAACACTCCAAATCATTTTTCTTTTTCAGTTTTTGCTCAATGTGTGTAATTAAGTCTTCATAAATGTGCATGAGATGCATCTCTACTATGCGGATGTACAGGAAGGCCGGCCATGATCCAGCCTTGCCCTTCCCTCTCACGGTCTGTGTGTCTCCCAAGAAGCACTGGGGCGCCTACCTTGCCTCTTCCTGGGTAGTCAGGGTTGGGGGTGAGTAGATCCTTCTTTGGCCATCAGCCTTCCCCTTGGGACCATGTGTCTTTCTCTCTCTCAGGTCGGCAACCACATTGATGTGCTCACTGGCAAGTGGGTGGCCCAGGACGCAGGCATCGGGGCTGGCGTGGACTCCTACTTTGAGTACTTGGTGAAAGGAGCCATCCTGCTTCAGGATAAGAAGCTCATGGCCATGTTCCTAGGTAAAAAGGGCAGAGTAAGGGAGCTTTTCCCCTGATTTTTCTTGTTGATGTGTGATTTGTTTAAAAACATTTTTTTTTTTTTTTTTTTTGAGACAGAGTCTTGCTGTGTCTCCCAGGCTGGAGTGCAGTGGCACAATCTAGGCTCACTGCAACCTCTGCCTCCCAGGTTCAAGTGATTCTTGTGCCTCAGCCTCCTTAGTAGCTGGGACTACAGGCGCACACCATCACACCCAGCTAATTTTTGAATTTTTATAGAAATGGGATTTCACTGTGTTGGCCAGGCTGGTCTTAAACTCCAGACCTCAGGTGATCTGCCTGCCTTGGCCTCCCAAACTGCTGGGATTACAGGTGTGAGCCACCATGCCCAGCCTGAGTGCCTGCAGAATCAGTTCTGAATTCAGAGTCACTGTGGATTTACACTGCCCACTTCATGCCCACTACACCACTTCATGCCTTCTTGCAAAAGCCAACTGAAGCATGCTGCATTCTGTGTATATAGCCCTGTATTTCTTATCTCCTGGCCATTGCACATGGCGTCTTCTTTGCCTAGAATGTCTTTTTTCCTGTCTTCCTGTGTCCAAATTCTTTTCACCCTTCAAAGCCTAACTTAAATGTCACCTTGCCCAGGAAGTAGCTTGATCCTTCTTCAAAATTTAGGACCTTTAGCATCTGTTTTGCAGTTAGCTCTTATCAACAGTTACAGCTCTACTAATTGAATGCATAATCCGTGCCTTATTCATCTTGTTTCTCACAGTGCTTTACATGTGGTAGGTAATAGATTAATGCCTGTTGAATAAATACATCTTACCCTCCAGGCCCTTAGACACTAGCAATATTAAGGAATTGTTGAGCACCTAATTACCATTACTATTATAGCTACAGTAGTCCCCTGTTATCCACAGCTTTGATTTCCATGGTTTCAGTTATCCACGGTCAACTACAGTCTGAAAATAGGTGAGTACAGTCAGATAAGGTATTTTGAGGCTGAGTGCAGTGGCTCATGCCTGTAATCCCAGTGCTTTGGAAGTGAGGATTGCTTGAGGCCAGGAGTTTGAGACCAGCCTGGGCAATATAACAAGACCCCCTCTCTTAAAAAAAAAAAAAAAAAAAAGATATTTTGAGACACCAAATTTACATAATTTCTTTTTTTTCTGTCTCTTACCAAAGAGACAAATTCACATAACATCTATACAATATATTGTTATCATTGTTCTGTTTTATTAGTTATTGTTAATCTCTTCTCATGCCTAATTTATAAATTAAACTTTTTCGGCTGGGCACAGTGGCTCATGTCTTTAATCCCAGCGCTTTGGGAGGCTGAGGCAAGAGACTTGCTTGACCCCAGAAGATCAAGATCAGCCTGGGCAACATGGTGAGACCTTGTCTCTACAAAAAATTTAAAAAAATTAGCTGGACATGGTGGTGCGTGCCTGTAGTCCCAGCTACTTGGGAGACTGAAGTGAAGGATTGCTTGACCCTGGGAGGTTGAGGGTGCAGTGAGCCATGATCATACCACTGCACTTCAGCCTGGGTGACAGACTAAGACTCTGTCTCAAAAGTAAAAATGTTTAAAAATTTAATGAAGTAAGCTTTCTCATGGATGTGTATGTATAGGAAAACAGTAGTCACGCGTTGCTTAATGACAGGGATATATTCTGAGAATTGCATCGTTAGGTGATTTCATCATTTTGCAAACATCATAGGGTGTACTTAAGCAAACCTAGATGGTATAGCCAACTACACACCTAGTCTATATGGTGTAGCCTATTGCTCGTAGTCTACAAACCTGTACAGCATGTTACTCTCCTGAATACTATAGACAATTGTAATAGAATGGTAAGTATTTATGTATCTAAACATAGAAAAAGTGCAGTACAAATACAGTATAAAAGATAAAAAATGGTACATCTGTATAGGGCACTTAACCATGAATGAAGTTTATAGGACAGGAAGTTGCTCTGGTTGAGTCGGTGAGTGGTGAGTGAACGTCAAGGTCTAGGACATTACACTGTTGTAAACTTTATAAATACTGTACACTTAGGCTACACTAAATTTATTTAATTTTTTTTTTCTTTCTCCAATAATAAATTCTTTTTTTTTTTTTTTTTTTTGAGATGGAGTCTCGCTCTGTTGCCCAGGCTGGAGTGCAGTGGCATGATCTTGGTTTACTGCAACCTCTGCTTCCCCAGTTCAGGTGATTCTCCTGCCTCAGCCTGCTGAGTAGCTGGGATTACAGGCACCCACCACCACGCCTGCCTAATTTTTTTTTTCCTTTTAGAGACAGAGTCTCACTGTGTTGCCCAGGCTGGAGTGCAGTCCTGCGATCTCGGCTCACTGCAACCTCCGCCTCCTAGGTTCTAGCAATTCTCCTGCCTCAGCCTCCCGTGTAGCTAGGATTACAAGTGCACGCTGCCACGCCCAGCTAATTTTTTGTATTTTAGTAGAGACGGGGTTTCACTGTGTTGCCGAGGCTGGTCTTGAACTCCTGAGCTCAGGCAGTCCACCCGCCTCAGCCTCTCAAAGTGCTAGCATTACAGGCATAAGCCATGGTGCCTGGCCTAATTTTTGTATTTTTAGTAGAGACGGATGGGGTTTCACCATGTTGGCCAGGCTGGTCACGAACTGCTGACCTCAAGTGATCACCTGCCTCGGCCTCCCAATGTGCTGAGATTACAAGCGTGAGCCACCATGCCTGTCCTCCAATAATAAATTAACATTAGATTACTTTTTTACTTTGTAAACTTTAAATTTTTTAAAAACTTTTTGACTCATTTGTAATAACGCTTAGCTTAAAACACATTGTACAGCTATACAAAAATATTTTCTTTATATCCTTATTCTCTAAGCTGTTTTCTATTTTTACTTTTTTATTTTGTTTTTACCTTTTATACTTTTTGTTAAAAACTAAGCTACAAGCACACATTAGCCTAGGCCAACACAGGGTCAGGATCATCAATATCACTGTCTTGCATTTCCCCATGTTATCCTGCTAGAAGGTCTTCAGGGGCAGTAACACTCACAGAGCTGTTATCTCAGATGATGACAATGCCTTCTGGAATTCCTCGAAGGACCTGCCTGAAGCTGTTTCACAGTTGACTTTTTTTTTTTTTTTTTTTGAGACGAAGTTTCGCTTCTGTTGCCAACGCTGTAGTGTAATGGTGCTATCTCGGCTCACTGCAACCTCCACCTCCCAGGTTCAATTCTCCTGTGATTCTCCTGTCTCGGCCTCCTGAGCAGCTGGGATTACAGGGGCCTACCACTACTCTTGGCTAATTTTTGGTATTTTTAGTAGAGATGGGGTTTCACCATGTTGGCCAGGCTGGTCTCAAACTCCTGACCTCAGGTGATCCACTTGCCTCGGCCTCCCAAAGTGTTGGGATTACAGGCATGAACCACCACACCCGGCTGACCTTTTTTATCTAAGTGGAAGGAGTACTCTAATGATAATAGTATAGTAGATACGTAAGTGAGTAAATATTTATCAAATATCGTGTACTGTACATAATTGTATGTTATACTTTTATGACTGGCAGCACAGTAGGTTTGTTTACACCAATATCACCACAAACAAGTGAGTAATGCATTACATTATAAAATTACAACAGCTGTGATATCTTTAGACTGTGGTGATTTTTCACCTCTATTATAATCTTATAGGACCACCACCATCTCTACAGTTCAGTGTTGACCAACATGTTGTTATATGGCACATGACTGTATATAGAGTTTATATAGTACTAGCCATGGTTTCAGACATCCACTAAGGGTCTTAGAACATATTCTCCTCAAATAAGGGGGGACTACTCTACTCATTTTTTCAACAAATATTTATTGAATACCATGGATGTGCCAAGCATTGTGCCAAGCTCTGAACATGGACTGTTTCATATAATCCTTACAACTCCTGTTTGAGATTATCTTATTTATTTGCATGTATATTTGATACTTTGTTCATTCAGAAAATATTTATTGCTCATTGTACTAGTGTGGGGGATTCTGCAGTAAACAAAACAAAGTCCCAGGCCTCATGGATTTACAATCTAGGGGAGAGATATAAGGGATAAATTCAAGTTCCCACTAGAATGTAAGTTCTCCCAGGGCTGGATTTTGTCTTGTTTACAAACTCATAGGTGCCTGGTACCTGGTAGGTGCTCAGCGAATGTTTGTTGTGTCAATAAATGACTGAAAAGTCTCACAGATACTTAACATTACTGTTTTAGTCCATTTTCATGCTGCTGATAAAGACATACTCGAGACTGGGTAATTTATAAAGAAAAAGAGGTTTAATTGACTCACAGTTCCACATGGCTGGGGGGGCCTCACAATCATGGCGGAAGGTGAAAGGCACATCTTACATGGCGGCAGGCAAGAGAGAATGAGAGCCAAGTGAAAGGGGAAACCCCTTATAAAACCATCAGATCTCGTGAGACTTATTCACTACTACGAGAAAAGTATGGAGGAAACGGCCCCCATGATTCAGTTATCTCCCACAAGGTCCCTTCCACAACACATGAGAATTATGGGAGCTACAATTCAAGATGAGATTTAGGTGGGGACACAGCCAAACCATATCAATTACTAACCCCCCCCCCCCTTTTTTTTTTTTTTTTTTTTTGAGACGGAGTCTCGCTGCCTCGCCCAGGCTGGAGTGCAGTGGCCGGATCTCAGCTCACTGCAAGCTCCGCCTCCCGGGTTCACGCCATTCTCCTGCCTCAGCCTCCCGCGTAGCTGGGACTACAGGCGCCCGCCACCATGCCCGGCTAATTTTCTTGTATTTTTTAGTAGAGATGGGGTTTCACTGGGTTAGCCAGGATGGTCTCGATCTCCTGACCTCATGATCCGCCCGTCTCGGCCTCCCAAAGTGCTGGGATTACAGGCTTGAGCCACCGCGCCCGGCCGCTTTTTTTTTTTTTAAGATGGAGTTTCACTCTTGTTGCCCAGGCTGGAGTGCAATGGCGTGATCTCGGTTCACGGCAACCTCCGCCTCCCAGGTTCAAACAATTCTCCTGCCTCAGCCTCCCAAGTAGCTGAGATGACAGGCATGCACCACCACACCCTGCTAATTTTGTATTTTTAGTAGAGACAGGGTTTCTCCATGTTGGTCAGGCTGATATTGAACTCCCGACCTCAGGTGATCTGCCTGCCTCAGCCTCCTAAAATGCTGGGATTATAGGTTTGAGCCACCGTGCCTGGCCTCCTCATTTTATAGATCATAAGGCTGAGACTTAAAAGGGAAAAACCCACCCCAGGTCATGGTTAGCAATGTGGTAGAGCTGGAGCTGGAATTTGAGCTGGAAGTTTGACTCCAGAATCCATGCTCTTTTCTAGCCTGCTTGTCTCATTGCATCCTGGTGCTCTTTCCAAAGTGTAAGTCCTTACTTCCGTTGTCCAGGCCTGCCTTTTGTCTCCCTAATCACTCATATGTCCATTATCCCATCTCTCCCATTGCAGAGTATAACAAAGCCATCCGGAACTACACCCGCTTCGATGACTGGTACCTTTGGGTGCAGATGTACAAGGGGACTGTGTCCATGCCAGTCTTCCAGTCCTTGGAGGCCTACTGGCCTGGTCTTCAGGTAGGAATGATCAAAGAATGTGATCATCTTTCTATGGGTCTGGCAAAGCAAGCTCATTCTCATGTATAAGTCAAATATGGTACTTTGTTAGTTACTTGAGTACTTTTTTTTGGAGGGACAGGTTGAGGATGGAAGAGAGACCTAGAGTGAATTAGATAGATTTAGAGTTCTGCCAAAGTAAGTGTCAGGAACTGAGCTTCCAGTTTGCCATGGAACGTTGTGGTACTTAAAGTCGACAGTGCATTTCCAGTCTGGGCAGGAATGGCCATTGGCAACAGCTGTTTCTCCACTGGGCGTTTCTGTCCAATCTCATTCTTGACAGTGGGCCTGAGGAAGGGCAGGAAGCAGCTCATGCCGCTCTGCCATCTCGTTATTTTCTCATTACATGGTCTGGTAGAGTTGCAGCCGGAAGGATCTTAGAGCTTATCTAATCTGCCCCACTTTGCTGTTCCAAAATAGTGCATGTACCAAAATGTTTTCATAATCTACGTTTTTAAAAGTTTTAAGAAAAAGTAGGCCCACCTGGGCAACATAGTGAGCTCTCATCTGTACAAAAAATAAAAAATTAGCCGAGCGTGGTGGCACATGCCTGTAGTCCCAGCTACTCAGGAGACTGCAGTGGAAGGATTGCTTGAACCGCGAAGATCAAGTCTGCAGTGAGCCATGATCATGTGTCTGCAGCCTGGGTGACAGAGTGAGACCCTGTCTCAAAAAAAAAAAAAAAAAATGACCACCAGGTTTCTATCCAGAATAACCAGGTAGACATTGTGTCATTTACCAAGAAGGGAAAAAGGCCAGAGTAAGGAGGCAACTTTGTGGGAATGTAAAGGAACCAAGAATTTTTTTAGGAAATGACAAGTTTGTTCTGTCCATGAGACGTCCAGTGGAGACGTCAAGGTCAGCTGCTTCCCTGTGAGATTACATTAGTAGTAATGGCTACTTAGCAATAGCAGGTAAAATTATAAATGCATATATCCTTTGACCCAGTGATCCTAATTCTGAAAATGTATCTTACACATAACACTTTACATCTGTTTGATGTGACATATGCAGAATTATTTATTGCCACATTAGTTGTTGGAACCAATTCAAATAAAAATATCTGAAAACCAAATTTCTGTATCTAAAAATATGGAGATAATTAATATCCCTATTAATAAGGAACCAAAGGCTATTTTTTAGTGTGGGGAAAATAATGTATACTCATGCATGTAGAAACTCTGGAAGATTATACAAGAAATCTGTAATGGTTATCTGAAGCCAGGCAGGATGGGTCGTGGTTGTAATCTCAGCACTTTGGGAGGCTGAGGTAGGAGGATCACTTGAGCCCAGGAGTTTGAGATCAGCCTGGGCAACAAAATGAGACCCCCATCTCTACATAAAATAAGAAAATTAGCCAGGAATTGTGGTGTGCACCTGTGGTCCCAACTACATGGGAGACTGAGGTGAGAGGATCTTTTTTTTTTTTTTTTTTTTGACGGAGTCTTGCTCAGTCGCCCAGGCTGGAATGCAGTGGCGCAATCTCAGCTCACTGCAAGTGCCGCCTCCCAGGGTTCACACTATTCTCCTGCCTCAGCCTCCCGAGTAGCTGGGACTACAGGCGCCCGCCACCATGCCCAGCTAATTTTTTTGTATTTTTAGTAGAGATGGGGTTTCACCGCGTTAGTCAGGATGATCTCGATCTCCTGACCTCATGATCCACCCGCCTCGGACTCCCGAAGTGCTGGGATTACAGGTGTGAGCCACCACGCCCAGCCGAGGTGAGAGGATCTCTTGAGCCCAGGAGGTGAAGGCTGTAATGAACCATGATTGTGCCACTGCACTCCAATCTAGGTGACAGAGCAAGACCCTGTCTCAAAAACAAAAACAAAAATGGTTATCTTTTGGGAGTGTGGTGGTGGGAGTGAGACTTAGCACAAACTTTTCTCTATTCTTAGACTTTTGAACTGGCTGGCTGAATTCCAAAACTGTTAGTAGCTGACAATGACTCAGAAGATTTAGGGACTTAACATACAATCTCTGTTCCTTCCAACAATGTATGAGATAGATGATGTATGTTATGTCTTATAGATGAGGCTCAGAGGAGTCCAGTGCCTGGCTCAGCACCACACTGAGTAACTGGCAGACTCAGGGATTGATTCAAGGCCTTTTTGGCCCCACAGATTGTACTTTGTATTTTCTTAAGGTCTGTAGGGTTTTATGCCTGCTGTCTACCTGCCTAACAGCCACTTTCTCCCACAGAGCCTCATTGGAGACATTGACAATGCCATGAGGACCTTCCTCAACTACTACACCGTATGGAAGCAGTTTGGGGGGCTCCCGGAATTCTACAACATTCCTCAGGGATACACAGTGGAGAAGCGAGAGGGCTACCCACTTCGGCCAGGTGAGCAGCCTCTCTGGCTTGTCATCTGCCCGCAGGCTCTGGTTCCTGAAACCCCAAATCCCCTCTACAAGGCTCCATGCTTCACAACTGCCCACAAGTTCATTTTTTTCCATCTGTTCCTTCCAGTGACTCTGGGTGGTTTTCTTCCTAGGAGTTAATTATCCCCATGTTTTCAGATACGGAAACTGAGGCCCAGTGGGATGAAATGGCTCGCCTCTGGTTCTTAAGTGTAGGAGCCAGGCCTGGAACCCAGGACTCCTAACTAAATTGCAAGCTCTTTCTTTTTTATTTTTATTTTTTTGAGATGGAGTTTTGCTCTTGTTGCCCCGGCTGGAGTGCAATGGCGTGATCTTGGCTCACTGCAACCTCTGCCTCCTGGGTGCAAGCGATTCTCCTGCCTCAGCCTCCTTGAGTAGCTGGGATTACAGGCATGAGCCACCACGCCCAGCTCATTTTGTATTTTTAGTAAAGACGGGGTTTCACCATGTTGGTCAGGCTGGTCTTGAACTCCCAACCTTAAGTGATCCACCCACGTTGGCCTCCCAAAGTGCTGGGATTACAGACATGAGCCACCGCGACTGGCCCAGTATGCTCTTTCAAATCAGGAAATGAGTGAGAAGGAAAAGGCCAAGGTTGACTCCTTTTGAGCTCCTGCCATCAGGAGTTCAGAAGTGTAGACAAACTTCCTAAGTCCACGGGTCAGATAAATTATGCTTACGTGTATGGAATGTTAGAACTGTGGCACAGACCTTAGGAATTACCTAGTCTCTTCCACCTCCCCATTTGCAGCTCAGAATCAAGCAAAGGACTATATTTGAGACATTCTCTTACATTCCTTTCTAGCCCTGGTGTCCTCTGATTCACTTCAGGGAAGCTGAAAATTGTGAGGAGGGGAAGAAAAAGGGGGACAAAGGAAGGAAGCTTAGTCAGCACGCATAGTCATCCCCCACCCCAAAATAGGCCATGAGCCCATTGTCTTAGACACTTCCCACTTTCCCACCTGAATTGCCTTTCAGCCATGGGACAGGCCTTCCTAGTGGCTTCTGCTTATGCTGCCTTCTTCTACCTCATTTCCTTCCTCTTCTAACTCAAATGATTATGTGGGAGGTGTAGAGGGTTCCAGGAGAGGGAATAAAGAGCTAATCAGTCACTTTTGACTCCTTAGAGGCCACTGTTACTGATGTTTCCCGTGCATTCGTTCTCATGGCATGTTTTTAAAACAAGAAACTCAGCCGGGCGTGGTGGCTCACGCCTGTAATCCCAGCACTTTGGGAGGCCAAGGCAGGTGGATCACCTAAAGTCAGGAGTTTGAGACCAGTCTGGCCAACATGATGAAACCCCATCTCAACTAAAAATACAAAATTATCCGGGCATGGTGGCGCACACCTGTAATCTCAGCTACTTGGGAGGCTGAGACAGTAGAATCACTTGAACCCAGGAGGTGGAAGTTGCGGTGAGCCAAGATCATGCCATTGCACTCCAGCCTGGGCAAAAAAGAGCAAAACTCTATCTCAAAATAAATAAATAAATAAATAAATAATAAAAATAAGAAGCTCTGAGAAGGTATCATATCTAGTGTTTGTTACCAACAGATAAAGATCAGGGTTTGGGACTAAATGTAAGACATAGGCTTGCACAATCTTAGGGTTAGAGGGAACTTGAGAGTTGTTCTAATTGGAATCTTCCTAATATGGTCCTGTCAAATAGTTATCTAGTTTTTGCTTAGTTTCCACGAGTGACAAGTGACAAGAAGCTTGCTACTTAACAGCAGCAACCTGTTCCATTTGCAGGACAGGCCGGCAGGAATGCATTCATGGAAAGTAAGACACTACTGGCCAGATGCAATGGCTCATGCCTGTAATCCCAGCACTCTGGGAAGATAAGGCAGGAGGATCACTTAAGCCCAGGGGTTCAAGATCAGCGTGGGCAACATAGTGAGACCTTGTCTCTATGAGAAATAAGAATAAATTAGCCAGGAGTGGTGGTGCATGCCTGTAGTCCCATCCCAGCTACCTGGGAGGCTCGGGTGGGAGGATCACTTGAGCCCAGGAGGTCGTAACTGCAGTGAGCCATGATTGCGCCACTGCAATCCAGCCTGGGTGATAGAGTGAGACCCTGTCTCAAAAACAAAAACAAAAACATAAGGCACCACTGTCAGGAATCCAGGAGTGCCTTAATCCAGTCATCCCTCCTACCCCAAAACAATGACAAATAGGAGATAAGGATTACTCTTTCACTAGATTTGCCACATCCCTATACTCTCATATATGTCTCTGATCAGCAGTGTTGGAGCACAGAGCCTATCCTAAAGGCCTCTGCAGGTTTTTACCTCCCTGTAAGTCCAAATCTGAACTTTGGGCTGTCACCTTCCTCTAGAGCAGGGATCCCCAACCCCCAGGCTATGGACCGGTATGAGTCCATGGCCTGTTAGAAACCAGGCCACACAGCAGGTGAGCGGCATGTGAGCAAGCGAAGCTTCATCTGTATTTACAGCCGCTCCTCATCGCTCACATTGCTGCCTGAGCTCCGCCTCCTGTCAGATCCGTGGCAGCATTAGATGCTCATAGGACCACAAACCCTATTGTGAACTGCGTATGTGAGGGATCTAGGTTGTGTGCTCCTTATGAGAAGCTGATGCCTGATGATCTCTCACTATCTCCCGTGACCCCCAGATGGGGCTGTCTAGTTGCAGGAAAACAAGCTCAGGGCTCCCACTGATTCTACATTATGGTGGATTGTGTAATTATTTCATTATATATTACAACGTAATAATAATATAAATAAAGTACACAATAAATGTAATATGCATGAATTATCCCAAAACCATTCCCTACAACCCCAGTTCATGGAAAAATTGTCTTCCACGAAACTGGTCCCTGATGCCAAAACAGTTGGGGACCACTGCTCGACAGAGCTGGCCAGATGCACAGGAAAGTAAAGCAATAACTAACATGCTTAGGAGGCCCACATGTGAGGAGAGAAGCGCAGTGGCTGGTCATGAGGGCACTGGCCCCACCAGCTGCTAGAAACAGAAGAGGGCTGGGTGCGGTGGCTCACGCCTGTAATCCCAGCACTTTGGGAGGCCAAGGCGGGTGGATCAACTGAGGTCGAGAGTTCAAGACCAGCCTCACCAATATGACGAAACCCCGTCTCTACTAAAAATACAAAAATTAGCTGGACGTGGTGGCACGTGCCTGTAGTCCCAGCTACTCAGGAGGCTGAGACAGGAGAATTGCTTGAACCTGGGAGGCGGAGGTTGCAGTGAGCCAAGATCGTGCCATTGCACTCTAGCCTGGGTAACAGCAAAACTCGCTCTCAAAAAAAAGAAGCAGCAGCAGCACAAAAAAGAAGCAGAAGAGGAGGCCTCCCATGAGAGCACTGTCTTTTCTGCCTTTGAACACACAGAATGTGTTCATCTGGTAGTGAGTGTACCTTAGTCTGTGCCTTAGAATATGAGCAATTAGATTAGCAATTGTCTAGAGGCCTGTGAGGAGAGAAGAGGAGGAGGAAGTAAGAGAGAACTGGGGAGATAGGCAGAGACCTTTTCTCTAAAATAAGAACTAGAGGTTGGGTGCAGTGACTCACGCCTGTTATCTCAACACTTCAGGAAGCCAAGGCGGGCGGATGACTTGAGGTCAGGAGTTTGAGACCAGCCTGGCCAACATGGCGAAACCTTGTCTCCACTAAAAATACAAAAATGAGTCAGGCCTGGTGGTGCATGCCTGTAATCCCAGCAACTCGGGAGGTTGAGGCATGAGAATCCCTTGAACCCAGGAGGTGGAGTTGCAGTGAGCGGAGATCACGCCATGGCACTCCAGCCTGGGTGACAGAGCAAGACTCTGTCTCAAAAAATAATTAATTAAATAAAATAAGAACTAGAATTTGTAGCAATAAGCCAAAAGGGAGAGAAGCACTGATCAAGCCCAGGTGGAAACAGGACAGGAGAAGGTCGGGGAGATGATGGGACAGAAAGGGGACAGGGATTCTTCTCTCTCTTAGAAAAGATGGATGAAGTAGAAAACCATATTGAGCTGAGGCCACCCTTGAAGTCAACTCTACAACAGTTCTTCAGGTATTTGAAAGCAATAAACACATTTTTTTTATATATCCTTTTCTCTAGAATAAATATTCTCATCTGGACCCACTCCTGTTGGCTAATATTCATCTTAAGATAGAGCTCGTGTCTTAACATCAAATTCCAGTTGTGGCATAGAATTGGGCAAGACAAAACATCACTTTCTTCCGGGCACAGTGAACTGATGACCATATCTTTGTTAGAATGATGGTTTGGTGGTTTATTTTATTTTTTTTATTTTTATTTTTTTAGATAAGGTCTCACTCTTGTCACCCAGGCAGGAATGCTGCAGTGGCTTAATCATGGCTCACTGCAGCCTGAAACTCCTGGGCTCAAGTGATCCTCCTGCCTCAGCCTCCTGAGTAGCTAGGACTACAGGTGCATGCCACACCCAGCTAATTATTTTTATCTTTTGTAGAGACAAGATCTCACTATGTTGCCCAGGCTGGTCTCAAACTCCTGGGCTCAAACTATCCTCTTACCTTGGATTCCCAAAGCACTGGGATTACAGGCATGAGCTACCATGCCTGGTCTGCTCTTGGATATCTCACCCTTTTCTTTTGACCTATCCTATCTCAAAAAGAGCCTTATGATGCCAGGCTCTTACTCTTTTCTTTTCTTTTCTTTTCTTTTTTTTTGAGATGGAGTCTTGCTCTGTTGCCCAGGCTGGAGTGCAGTGGTGCGATCTCGGCTCACTGCAACCTCCGCCTCCCAGGTTCACACCATTCTCCTGCCTCAGCCTCCCGAGTAGCTGGGATCACAGGTGCCTGCCACCATGCCCGGCTAATTTTTTGTATTTTTAGTAGAGACGGAGTTTCACCATGTTAGCCAGGATGGTCTCAATCTCCTGACCTTGTGATCCCCCTGCCTCGGCCTCCCAAAGTGCTGGGATTACAGGCGTGAGCCACTGCACCCGACCCCTTACTCTTCTTTTGCATTTTAGAATTAGGTTAGACTCTGAGTGACAGGAAAAAAATAGTAGCTTAATTAGGATAGAAATTTATTTCTCTCTCACGTTCTGGGCTTATATGGCTCGCCATGGTGTCCTTAATCCTACCTAGCTGTTAGAATAGTTGTTAGTGTTGGCAGCCAGGCAGCCTGTGCTTAGCTAAAGTTAGGAATCCTGCTACTAAGGAGGAAGTGGGGAACAGATATTGGTAAATAGGCAACAATCTCCGCCACCTTCTCTACCCCAGAACCTGGCCACCTTTCTCTTCTTGGGGTGGGAGTCACTGGTCAGCCTTAATGCTGGTCTCCACTGAGCTTCAAGCTTTGGGTATACTGGCTCTGAAACTCAGCGTTGGATGAGGTATCCTGTGTTCCTACTAGTTGGGGCCTCACGGACAAGATATGGAGGGGAGTAGTCCCTCACTGCCCTAAGAGGCCCCAGGCCATCTCTGTGCAGCCACTGAGTGAGGAGGGTCTGCTTTGGACTTTGCAGAACTTATTGAAAGCGCAATGTACCTCTACCGTGCCACGGGGGATCCCACCCTTCTAGAACTCGGAAGAGATGCTGTGGAATCCATTGAAAAAATCAGCAAGGTGGAGTGCGGATTTGCAACAGTAAGTGTTTCCATGGCCCCAAGACTGGGAAGAGTCTCCTCTTGCTGCTAAAAAGCCTCTTTAAGGGTAGAGCTTTGGGAGTTCTGACATATCAGCACTAGAAGAGAGCTTGGAGATATACATAATGCTCGTATTTTACAGATGGCAAGACCAAAGAACAGAGAAGCTTAAGTGCCTTGCCAAAGATCTCACAGCTAGTAGAGGAAGAGCTAGGATTAGTTCCTTGGGATCTTGACCCAGGCCCTTGGCATTCCTCTCACAGCAGAGATCCTTGATCTGTTTGAGTAGGTGACATTGAAAAGGTGAGTTTAGCAAAAAGTTTTGTGAGACACTAAAATAGATTTTAAGGGGAATCCAGAGTCCCATAGCCCTATATTCAAACCTGGGACTCCTTAACAAAGCAGTCCTACTTAGTCTCGCAGATATTTATTGAATGTCTTTCACATGCCAGGCACTCTCTAGGCCCAAGGGTTATAGCAGAGGCCCTGCTCTCATGGAGCTTACATTTTAATGAGAAAAAACCATGAATATATATCGGGTAGACAGAAGGCCAGTGTGGCTGGAGTGGAGCAAGCAAGGAGAAATGTGGGAAGAGATAAGGTCCCAGAGGTAGGCAGGGGCTAGATCACATAGGCCTTTGTGTAAGCCACAGGAAAGAGTTTGGATTTTTTTCTACTTGGAATGTGAAGCCTTGGTAGGATTTACAGCAGAGTAGTGACATGATCTGATTTGTACTTTAGAAAGATCGCTCTGGCTGCTCTGTGGAGAATAGATTGAAAGGGTCAAAGGTGAGAGCCATGTCACATCCATATGGGACCCAGGCAGGCAAGATATAAATACAGATGTAGAAGAAAATAGTCTAGAAGAAAATTCTCCGAAAAGCCCACAGAGTTGGTGTTGGGGTATGGAATTCAAAACAACAACAAAACACTTATTTTGCAAAATTTTGTAATGTGATTATATTCTCTAAGTAAAATGTAGATATGTGTAGGGGAAGAGAGAAGACCTACATGTGGAAGGGAAAAAATAAACCCCTGATATGATTTGGCTTCTAATATTCTGTATTATGTGAAAAACCAAAATGATAAGCCCACTAGGGCCTTCCTAGGAATGCTGGGCTCCTTTCCATAAACATGAAGCGCTTTGGAGGTCTTCCATGGTGAATGATGGGAACAGGCATCTGACCTTTGTCAAACAGGGCAAGGAAATAATAGTCTTGATGCATCAAGACCATATTTGAGTCATATTTTTAAATGTAAGAGTCCACTGAGAATGTTTTGTTTAGAAGTATTACTAATTCTGAGAAGCTAAAATAAATATTTGTAGCAAGTAATCTTAGTCATCCATGCCTGAAAACTCAGTTGAAATTCTCTAAGACTCCTTACTAAAACAATGTCAATAGTTTTCATCAACAGCAGTTGAACCTAGTAAGTTTCGATACTTTGGGTCTGAGTGGAGAAAAAAAGACCCCTACTTGCTTACAAAAACTTGGTAATTGGCCAGGCGCAGCGGCTCAGGCCTATAATCCCAGCGCTTTCGGAGGCCAAGGCGGGTGGATCACAAGGTCAGGAGTTCAAGACCAACCTGGCCAACATGGTGAAACCGCGTCTCTACTAAAAATACAAAAAAAAAAATTAACCGGGTGTGGTGGCATGTGTTTGTAGTCCCAGCTACTCTGGAGGCTGAGACAGGAGAATTGCTTGAACCCGGGGGGCGGATGTTACAGTGAGCTGAGACTGTGTCGTTGCACTCCAGCCTGGGCGATAGAGTGAAACTCCATCTGAAAAAAAATAAAAAAATAAAAAACTTGGTAGTCATCTGAGTGCCCTTCCAGGGAGGATTAGCTAGGTAAATGGTGATCCATTTTCACGATGGAGTACTATGCCATCATTAAAAGAGACGATTAGCTCTATGTTTGTAGTCACAAAAAGGTGGGATAAAGGGGATAGGAGATTGTCATGTCATAGAGGAAGGTTAGCGGAGACATTTCTGGTGAGGAAGCATTTGAGCAGAGACCTGAAGGAAGGGAGGGAACAAGCTATGGGGAAAACTGGAGGCAGAGTGCTCCAGGCCGAAAGAACCACAGATGCAAGAGCCCGAGGCAGGAGGGTGCTGTGCTAGCTCAGGATAGAAAGTCAGCACCTGGAGCTCTTAGAGTGGTAAGAGGTGAGGGCAGGGAGGGAGCAGGGGCCAGGTCATGACTTCCATTTTTATCCTGCATGAAATGGAGGGTTCACAGAAAGTTTTGAGTAGAGAATTGACGGGAAGATTTATGCTATACATATACTGTAGGGGCTGGGCGTGTGTCTCACGCCTGTCATTCTGGTACTTTGGGAGGCCAAGGTAGGAGGAGTTGCTTGAACCCAGGGATTTGAGACCAGCCTGGGCAACATGGTGTGAGACTCTGTCCCTATTTTTAAAATAGTGTGTATATATAAACTACAGAGCTAAGGATGGAGGCTGGAAGCCCATTTGGAAGCTGATGTGACAATCCAGGTGAGATGACGGTGGCTTGGGAAAGAGTGAAGTTCTGAAAAGTTCAGTGATCTGCTCCCAGGCCCTCAGCTGCTTTGTGGCAGAACAGGAGTTCTTAAGGAATTGCCTGACCCTCACTATCAAATTGTGATGGTATTCCACTTGCTTCCTTCTCCCACGTGTCAGATCAAAGATCTGCGAGACCACAAGCTGGACAACCGCATGGAGTCATTCTTCCTGGCCGAGACTGTGAAATACCTCTACCTCCTGTTTGACCCAACCAACTTCATCCACAATAATGGCTCCACCTTTGACACAGTGATCACCCCCTATGGGGAGTGCATCCTGGGGGCTGGGGGATACATCTTCAACACAGAAGCTCACCCCATCGACCCTGCCGCCCTGCACTGCTGCCAGAGGCTGAAGGAAGAGCAGTGGGAGGTGGAGGACTTGATGAGGGAATTCTACTCTCTCAAACGCAACAGGTCGAAATTTCAGAAAAAGACTATGAATTCGGGGCCATGGGAACCCCCAACAAGGCCAGGAACACTCCTCTCACCTGAAAACCATGACCAGGCAAGGGAGAGGAAGCCTGCCAAACAGAAGGTCCCACTTCTCAGCTGCCCCAGTCAGCCCTTCACCTCCAAGTTGGCATTACTGGGACAGGTTTTCCTTGACTCCTCATAACCACTGGATAATTTTTTTATTTTTATTTTTTTGAGACTAAACTATAATAAAATGCTTTTGGGTATCATGTTTTGGTTATCGCGTTTTACATATTGGGCTATTTCATGAGATTCATTCAAAGAAAAGATTGGTGGCTATGGGCAATTGTGAACCTAGTTAATTTTCTCACGCAGCTGGAGAAAAGGCTAAATGCAATTAGCTGGCTCCAAAGATCCCAGGGGTTGATGATTGAATCTCCCTTCCTTTTCTGGTGTCTTTGCGGAGTGTTGTCATAAATGTACTTCTTTGTAAATTCTTGCTCCAACATGTGCTTCTTACTTTTTTTTTTTTTTTTTTGAGACAAAGACTCGCTCTGTCGCCTAGGCTGGAGTGCAGTGGCGTGATCTTGGCTCACTGCAACCTCCATCTCCCAGGTTCAAGCGATTCTCCAGCCTCAGCCTGCCGAGTAACTGGGGCTACAGGTATGCACCACTGCATCTGGCTAAATTTTTTTTTTTTTAATTTTTAGTAGAGATGGGGTTTCACCATGTTGGCCGGGCTGGTCTCGAACTCCTGACCTCAGGTGATCCACCGGCCTCAGCCTCCCAAAGTGCTGGGATTATGAGCATGAGCCACCGTGCCCGGCTGCTTCTTACTCTTTAGTTGACTCATCTATCCACCTGCCCTTCCAAGCAACAAAGATTTATTAAGCACCTTTTCTCTTTTGAGACAGGGTCTCCCTCTGACACCCAGGTTGGAATGTAGTGGCATGATCACCGCTCACTGCAGCCTCGACCTCCCAGGCTCAAGTGATCCTCCCATCTCAACCTCTGGAGTAGCTGGGACCACAGACACACACCACTATAATTTGCCTGATTTTTAAAAAAAATTTTTGTAGAGACAGGGTCTCCCTATGTTGCCCAGGCTGATCTCAAACTCCTGGGCTCAAACAATCCCCCCGCCTCAGCCTCCTGAGAAATTGGGATTACAGGCTTGAGCCATGGGGTTGGGCAGGCACCTTTGTGTACCAGCCCCAGCCCCAGAGGTTCAGCAGCAAACAAGGCAAACAGTTTTTATTTGTGTAAAACTAAATTTCTAGCAGGAAGAAAGAACCTAGTAAATAGATAAAACAGCATTGTGATCGGTTCCGTGAAGAAAACAGGGGGCCGTGCTAGAAAATAATGGGGAAAGAAAGATAAGCTGCTTTAAATAGTGGGGGTGGAAAAAGTCTCCCTGAGGAGGTGAGCTTTTAATTATGTAAAATTTTATTTCTTTTTTAAATTTTATTTTCTTATAACTTTAATTTTTTCATTTTACATTTTTATAAACATTAGAGATGGGGTCTTGCTTTGTTGCCCAGGGTGGTCTCGAATTCCTGGGCTCAAGCAATCCTCCCACCTCAGCCTCCCAAAGTGCTGGGATTACAGGCATGAGCCACTGTGCCTGGCCGTAAAGTTTTTTTTTGATACAGGGTCTCCAGACTGTTGCCCAGTCTGGAGTGCAGTGGCGCAATCACGGCTCACTGCAGGCCCTGCAATCCCTGACCTCCTGGGCTCAAGTGATCCTCCCACCTTAGCCTCCTGAGTAGCAGGGACAACAGGAGCATGCCACCATGCCTGGCTAATTTTCCTAAATTTTGTATTTTTTGTTGAGATGGGGTTTTACCACGTTGCTCAGGCTGGTCTCAAAATCCTAAGCTCAAGCAGTCTGCCCAACTTGGCCTCTCAAAGTGAGCCATCATGCCTGGCCAGGCTGTACTATTTTATTTTATTTTATTTTATTTTATTTATTTTTTTATTTTTTATTTTTTTAATTTTTAAAATTTTTAAAATTTTTTAATTTTTAAATTTTATTTTGTTGTATTCTATTCTATTCTACTCTACTCTACTTTACTCTACTCTACTCTATTGTCCCTATTTATTTGGAGACAGGATGTCACTCACCCCCTGGCTGGAATGCAGTGGCATGATCTGAGCTCACTGAAGCCTCCACCTCCCAGGCTTGGGTGATCATCCCACCTCAGCTTCCCAGGTAGCTGGGACCACGGGTGCATGCCACCAAGCCTGGCTAAGTAAAATTTTAAATACACAAAAGTGGAGCGAACAGGACAGCCATCCCTTGCGTGCTCATCCCTTGTGTGCTCACCAGTTTCAACAAACTAGCTTCAAAGATGATGAACTCACGGCCAACCTTACTTCATTTATAGCCACACTGGATTATTTAGGATTCCAAACATTTTATTCCTAAAAGTATTTCAGAATGCATCCCCAAAGCCCACCTGTAAAAATCAATCATTATTCTTTGATATCCTCTCCAATGTTCAAAATGTTTTGTTTCATAACTTTGTATTATAGGTTGTTTGTATCAGGACCCACATAGGGTTGATTTATATATTTGAAATTAGATGATATATCTCTGAAGTGTCTTTTAATTTACAGAAATTCTTTCCCTCTCCCTCCCTCCCTCCCTTCCCTCTCCTCCCACTGCAGTTTGTTGAAGACAACAGTTGTATGTCCTGTAGATTTCCCGTATTATGGATTTTGTTAATTGCATCTCTGAGGTATTATATAACTGTTTTTTAAAGTTGATGTTAAGATCTAGAGGCATCATCAGATTTGAATTTTTACTTTTGTTTTTATTTTTATTTGTATATTTATTTATTTTGAGACAGCATCTCACCCAGTCACCCAGTGGGGTGATCACAGTTCACTGCAGCCTCACGGGCACAAGTGATTCTCCCGCCTCAACCTCTCGAATAGCTGGGACTACAGGTCCACACCATTGCCTGGCTAATTTTTAAATTTTTTGTTTAGATGGGGTCTCGCTATGTTGCCTAGGCTGGTGTTTTTATTTTTCAAGAATGGTTCATAAGCACTGTTGTTTCTTTTGGTCAAGAGACACATCATGTCTGCTTGTCTATTACTAACAGCCATTTGTTGATCATTGCTTAGATCTATCATTTCAACAGGGGTTTCAAAATAGTGAGATTTTAATTAGGCTAGACTATTTCTCTCT